GAAATAAAATAAGTTATATTTTGTTTATATTTTATTGTTTTTATATTTAACATTAAAATTGAAATATAAATAATATGAAAATATAAAATATTAATAACGTTTTGTAAAATAAATACAAAAATAAATGAAATAAAATTACAAATTGAATAAAAAATCCTGAAAGTAAAATGAATTTTGAGAATTTTTAAATGTAGAATCTATAAAAATGTATAAATTAAATGCTTTAAATATAGTTTAATTGAAAAGGGTATTTGAAATACGTCATACTTGAGTGATATGTTCTTTCGATGATTATTTGGCATAATTTTTGTTGATTAAAATGATGTACAAACAATTCAATTTCAATTGCAGAATGGCTCTTTATGATCTGGTATGCTGCAAGTCAGCAGGCCAATTGAGGAACCAACAGCAACAGCAACAACAATAACAACAACTACAATGAAGATCATCACACGCAGCTCAACCGAGCTGTCTGTCAGATCGTTTGGGATTGGATTGTGTCACATGCGTGGGTCATTTGATACGCCTGTCTGGATGGAGGAGGCGCTTTTTAATTTAAGCTGTCGACATTCATTGAGCCACATATTCATATGTATGTGGAGTTCTTCAGGGTTAGCTGGGAGGGCAGGAGAGCGAACCATAAATATGCTGATAGCATTAGCAATTAATAAATATGTTTTATTAGTGGCCGTTATTATCAATTAATATGTCATTTCATTTTGGGCACTTTTTAACATATTTCTTAGAAATGACACTTGTATATACATATATCATATATATAGTATAATAATATATCATATAGTTTGCAGTTTGTTAAGTGCTTGCTCTTGATAATCAGACTCTTGTTGAGTTCAATCGCCTGAACAAAGTGTGCCATTGATAATAAAATAAAAAACTTGGCTGATAAACCTGCAGTGTTCGTAATACACACTTACAGAGATATATATGTATATTCATACATATATAGGGCATAATACTTAACTGTCGCCAGGCACCGAGCCTTTCGCTTGATAAATAATCTATAATCCAAAGCCGATTGTGATTTGTTTTAATCTCTATAAATGTACATAGTTGTGGTTAATACATATAATAGAGGCTTTCGAAATCTAACGTAGTTAGATAACGCCCGTATTTGATTGTCTTTGGCATACGGATCACGTTGCGCCTATAACAATTAAGCACTGGCAATGATCATTCATTTAGATCGTTCATTTACTGGTTTTAGGCCACAGCTCGGGTAGCGCTCATCAAAGAACTATGTAGTAAATAATACATATATATACTATATACATATAATGTATCTATCTCAACTCAACCGCAATAAACCGCACAATTTGCACCAAGCTAATGCCGAATATTGTAAAACAGAAAAAATCGAAAACAAAAACAAAAATAATACTGCTGTAAACCAATTTTGGTTAGAATTATAGATGTAGTTGCATATTAACTACTTGCATACTTGCTATATAGTAGTACATAGCGTGCTCGCTCAACTAATAGTAAAGCCATTCACTTTAGCACCTAGCTAGAACCAGCTACGGACACCTCCTCCTTCTCCAGCTGTCTCTCCCCCCTCGTCTAAAAACATTGTTTAATTGCATTTCACAAAGAAAAATACAAAACAAAAAAACTAAAATATTGTACTAGTTAGGTTGATTTTGTTTAGTTTTGTATTTGTAAGAGATTTGGCTGGCAAACGTTGTTGCACGTATTGAATACTCTGTATTGGATAATGGAGCTTTTCTTTGACAGCTTGTCATAAATTAGCTGAAAGTAATTAAGCGGAATCCCGTGGGAAATTCCAGACTAGCTGAGTACCCTTAATACATAATGCTAGCCTATGCCTAATGGATTTTACATTTATGTTGCTTTATTAAAAAAATGATTTGTATTCAAGATGAATATCTACATGTGAAATTTGATAGCTCCAACTCGTATGGCTTCACAATTATGTTGAACAAATTGATATGGAAATCGATTTATGTAGATATAGAAGAACTGATTGTAAAATTGAGGTGTGTTTAGTATAGAAAACAAATTTATATTTCACATTTGTATGTTACTAGTTTTTGGTAGTTCAGACAGATGTGCCAGATTGTTCTAGCTAGAGATTTTGCCTATATATCTATTCCATAGCATATATACCCTATGGCTTAAAATATTAGTAAAGGGTATTATTTGTATAGACAATTGTTTTAATTTGAAGTTTAATGACCATTTGCTACAGCTAAACCCTTATATGTAGCCATTGGTACTTTAGTATAGTTGTTTATTCTATAATATTTGTAGCGCGTGTTCGATAAGTACATGATTCACTGCGAAAACCCGTTAAAATATTCAATACAGCTCCGAATCGAAAGTTAAATGAAACGAAAATGAATTTGTACAAAACGAGAAGTATATATGTAAACACAAAGTTCCTTGTGCGGGAACGCACGGAGCATGTGAAAGACGTCGACGACGACGACGACGATGGCGATGTCGTCAACAACGTCGTTGACCACGAGGACGGGCAATTCGGCCAGATAGCGATTTTTATGAGTGGGGTCTCTTAAAACTATATAAGCGTAGAGTACGTATGGGCACACACACACACAAACATACATGTAGAGCTTGCGATTCCTTGACGCAGTGATCGACGCTGGCAGCGACGCCAGCAGCAATAACTCTCAACAGCACACAACAGAGAAGTAGCAGAGCAGAGAAGTAGCAGCAGCAGCAACAACTGAGCAGCTGCGACTGAGCTGCGCAGCAGCAGCARCGCTTATCTGTTCGCATATAAACTAAAGTCAGTGGAAATAATTTCTCATTTGAAATTTAACAGCCGACGTGCGCGGAAGGCAGAACAAAAGCGCGGTAGATCGTGTGGTGTGAAAAGCCGCTAAAACCAATAAACGACGACAGAGTAAAAGCACTCACACCAAATAAGAGAGGAAGTAGTAGAAGAAGCAGCAGAAGCCAAAACCAGCAGCCGCAGCAGCAGCAGCAGCAGCAGCGCAGCAGCAAAAGACTGAAGAAAAGCCCACAAGAAGTGCGTGATTCCAGTGCACTTTCATTGCACATTCCAGTCTCGTGCGCGCAGTACGATTTGAGTTGCCGTTGCGTGCGGTTCTTCATCGCTGTCTCTCTGTCTCAGTGTCCCCCTCTCTCGCTTCCTCGCTTCCCACAGCCGGCCGCTGTCTCTGTCGCGTTTTGCTTTCGCTATCTGTCCTGTTGCGCGTGCGCCAAAAGTGAAAAGTGTATCAAAGTAGAATTAATAAATTATTCGTGTGCGCCGAGGATCTGTGCGACAAAGTGTGAATAATTATTGTTTTCGCCGTAGCGAAAAGCGTAATCCGTAACCGTGGCGAAGGAATTGTCCAATTTGTTAACATTACAACAGAACACGGCTGAGATGACACAACAACCGCAATGGGGCATAAGTTTATCAAAGTGTAAGTGCAATAAGAATCCAACTCAAGCTAAGCCAATTGGAAGTGTTTGCAAGTGTGGGCGCAGTGTGTTTGTTGTGTGTGCGTGTGTGTGTTGTGCTTTGAATTGGGAATTCGAAATAAAATTCAAATCGGATTTCGAATTCGTTGAACTCTGGCTCGACATTCTTATAATGTATTTTGTTTAATTATTGCTCAACCGACATTGACCGACAACAACAACAACAACAACAGTAAATTGAACGCAAACTTAACTTTTAAGCGTACATACCTTATATATATATGTATATATATATATGTATGTATATCGCATAAAATAAACAATGACAAACCATTTTTACTTCTCT